ATTTTTGCCTTATTCGAGAGGTCACTGATATTACATCAATCCTTTCAAATGAGAGGGAAGCTTAGTTGTTGGTTATTTTCAAATGTTTTTATTCAGATGAAATGCCATTATTCGTTCATAATCTAACTGTATTGCTGGTAATTTATGGTTTCACACAACCATCCAATCTTGCAGTTATTATTTCTTCGGTAATTTTCTATATTACGTCTACGTAACCGATATCAACGATTTTGGTATCGTTGGATTTGTCTCACTGTATACAATGCAAATATGTAGGTTTTATTGTGGGGAAACCCCCCGTTAGTGATAAACTTGGGCCCGATAGCGGGGGCGACGATGTCGGAGCAGCGGACGTAGTATATAAACTTACCCTAATGATATAACCTCACAGTGAAAATAATCATGGTTATTCACATGACTTTCCATTGCAGGGGGCTGTCCCCCCTGCAACCCCCCCTGGGGGGGCTGCTGCCCCCCAACCCCGGCCGAGGAAATAAAACCTCCACCACGTATTCACGGCAGGATAGAGCGCACACGAACTAGATGCGGAGCCGATAACGTACAATAACCTAGGATTTTAAGGTATTAACCTGGGGCCGGATTCACTAACATACGATCGTAACGCATTTACCAGTGGTCATTTACCATTGCGTTTACCAGTCATGGCAAAGTGGTATTCACAAAGAAATGGTAATTTGGATATGCTGAGTTACAATCGTAAATTGACTCATTCTAATGGTAGCCAACAGAGGGCTCTAGTAAAGCAATTCCACCAATCAGCGATCTTTTAGGTTTCTTCGGCCAATCACGTAACATGTAAACAAAGCTACATACAGTGAGATATTAAAAAAAAAATCTTCACAGCTAAAACACTATTTAAGCACATGTCGAAAAAATGAATATATTTATTTGATCATATCCATCATGTGGGATATATATTTACTGTATAGATAGGAACCAATACAAACACTTTTATTAATATATTAATAAATATTATTATTAATATATCATTATTAAAATTTAGTTCAAACAGTTTATTTATTTATTTATTATTCATCATTGTTAAACAAAGAACCCGACTCAAATTTTTAGTAATCGCTATCTGTCGTCAAAGGAAATATTTCAAGCTTATTCTTGCCCATGCACTTGGAGTTTATTATCAAAATGGCGACAGACATAGAAATTGCTACACTCGTTTAGCGTTGTTATTAGATACATCAGGTGTAAAACCAAACCTAAATCATTGATTAGATATAGATTTTTTGATAAGATAACACGTGATGATATCGTCTTCCAAGAAGTTACCAGTGCTCCGACCACAGGTAAAATTTACCATGGTAACTCAATGGCAAATTGTTAGTGAATACCACCGCGGTCTGGTTACCATGGTAACTATAGTTACCAGTGATTTTACCATCGTAAGTGCGTTAGTGAATCTGGGCCCTGATTGATTAATGCCTCTAATTAGTAGGGAGGGTGCTCCTTTGCCGCAGAATGTGAAGGAGGACCAGGTGTGCTGGCTGCCCGCACCTGCCGCGGGCTTTCTCCCGACAGAGTAGGTTGTGGCGGAAGCACATCTCTAGCATTTTTTCCTGGCTAGTTGCAATTTTGCGCAGAAAATCCGTCTCCGAATACGAGCACCCTCCACACTCGACCATCGCGGCGGCTATGACTGACTTCTGAACGCGACGGTTATTTCGGTTAGGAATACGGATGACGTTATTCTAGTGGAAGGGAAACTCGACCTTGAGGCCATCGGTGTAACATCGAAAGAGGTGCAAAACCCGCCGAAGAGGGCGGGCCACCCTGTTCATCCTGATTATACTACAATCGTCTCTATATACAGTGCTGACTATGCCAAGGTTAATATGCTAATTCAGTGGGAATCTTACGAGGTAATTGTAATATTACGCCCGCCGCTACGACATCAACGATGATTGTGTAACGCTCTAGCCTGCCGGGAATATGTGGTGGAGGTTTTGTTTCCTTGGCGGGGGTTGGGGACCCCCCCCGGGGGGGGGTCGCATGGGGCACAGCCCCCTGCAGTGGAATGTTATGTGAATAACCATGATTATTTTCACTGTGCGTTATATTATTAGTGCTATTTAACCCCGCATTTTCCCTGGAACCTTTCATGCCCTCCCCTTCTATCGGGTCCAAGTTTGTCGCTAACGGGGGATTTCCGCGCAATAAAAACTATATATTTGCAATGTGGAGAGTGAGAGGAATCCAATGATACCAAAATCATCGATATCGGTTATGTGGACGTAATATAGAAAATTACCATTTCTTCCTTAAATGATTCATATTGGAGCATGTGTAAATCTATTGTGTTCTATTGCCAGACTGTAGAGTGGGAACATGAAAAAAATTATTCTGTCAAATTCTGTCCTCGCAAATGTAATAATCTTCCACGTATAAAATTCTCTTGACCTTTCTGCGCACTTGTTTCATCATCATCAGATCTGTCCGCGCAAATGTAGACAAAACAATGTTTTCCGTGTATGAAAATGTAATATTCCCTGCATGAGAAAAATACTCCATAGTCTGGTTCCATTGTGGATTATATAAAGGAAAGTATTGGTAACTCTTTACAAAGTGACAGCATTTCTCAGAAACTAATGCTACATCTGGAACTCCTTGTCTGGCTCGTTCAAACAACTTGTCGAGGACCAACAGGAAAAGGAGGCCGCGTTCGGAACCTCCAAGAACCTGTCTACTCAGAATGCAACCAGCTTGAATGTAAACTTTCACTTTTTTATTATACCGGTGTGGTTATTTTACATGCTGCAGAGGATTTATAACTCCTTTGATACATATTTAACTTACCTGCAATTGACAAACATAAAAATATCCTTTGGTAACATCAATAAAGGGCCATAAAATTACCCATCGATACCCAGTGGTTGCCTGCAACTGTCATTGTTTACATACAAAAGCTATTGTGATGTCATCTCGTCCTGCTCGCCCAACTTCGCAGGAGGGGGAGATGGACGAGATGGATGAGATGGACAACTTGTCCAGGATGAGATAGTAGAGATTCCGAACGGTCAAAACATCTTGTCAAACTGGTCTGGACGAGCAGTTCCGAACGCAGCATAAGTTGTCCTCATTCTACTCCTAGGAATCCACAGACATTGCCATAGCATTCTAAATTGGTAATTTACAATAGTTCTGCATAACTGGTCATGATGATGTCAGTATCGATGGATTCCTCTCACTCTTTAGTACTGAGATACAAAGAAATTTTTGTGTGGAACCCCCACCCCCCCTCATTAACATTAATCTTAGCCCCAATAGCAGGGAAGGTCAACCCCCTGTCGTACTATAACAATTTCTTTCCAAATTGAAAGATTTATGATATGAAAAATGAAGAAAAATAAAGAATCATTGTGCAACTTTTCAAATTTCTTTCCCATAAAATAAAGTAGATAGGACATATTCATCATAAAAGTATGTTTAGCATTTGATGATAATACATGAGCAGTTACAAGTCTGTATCTCTAGAAATAAACTTCCAATGAATAGATATTTACATGGGCTGGGTGCTCACCAGTGTCAAGGGCTGTCTTGGAGGTAGTTTTCAGGGAGTGCCTGGCTTTTCTTTTTATGCACTGGCACTACTCTAGCCTGTTTCCAGATAGCTGGCCACTTTTGCTGTTGGAGACAGTTTTGGAATAAGGTGGCCAGAGGAGTTGCAAGCTGGTCAGCACACTTTTTAAGTATGTGGGGACTTACGTTGTCAGGTCCAAAGGCTTTATTAACCTCAGTCTTAAGAAGATGATATTTGACTTCATCAGCATGATGACCAGTGAGTTAAGTCTCTGATTTGTCATTGATGGAAGCTGAGGACGTGCGGTCAGGTTCACGAATTCGCATCTTCTGAGAGAAGAAGGAGGCAAGTAATTCGGCTTTGTCCTGACTAGATGTTGCTACGTTTCCATCTGGTTTATATAATGGTGGAATGCAGTCTTGGGTCGTGAGGCCCTGTTGTTGTTTGACTAAACTCCACCAGTCTTTGCTGCCGATCGAACGGTTGGTAAGTTTTGTGCTGAGACTTTGTCTCCACTGTTCGATGCCCATTTCTGAACCTGCTTCATTCTTTTGCAGGCAGCTTTGTGGGTCAGCTTGTTTTCTGTAGATGGATTACGTTTGAAACGAATCCAGGCTCTGCTTTTTTCCTCTGCTGCAAGTCTGCATGTGTGCCCAAACCAGGGCTGATCTCCTGCTTTGACCTTGTATGATTTATGAGGTATAAAGCGTTCTTGCAGATTCTTAGTGTTTCAGTAAGTTTAAAAGCCTGTGTATTAACATCTCCTGTGAGAATGGAGTCCCATGCAGTGTTTTCCAAGACACTGCGAAAGCTTTGCCAGCAGCCCTTATTCCATGTCCAAATGGTTCTTGTCAGTGCCTCCTCACGAGTGGCCTTCAGGTTAATCCTGCTGAATATGGCATAATGATCTGAGGAGCCCACTGCTCCTATGCTACGGCAGCTAACTGCTCCTTCGGGAAGGTCGGAGATGACTGGGTCCAATGAGGAGCCTGAGATGTGAGTGGGGAAATCAACATGGTTGTTTAGCCCATGTATTGTTAGCAGATCCTCAAAGGATCTTGCAACAAGATGCTGGTTCAAATCTCCTACAATTAGGATGTTTTTGCAGGTATGGTGGTGTAAAATTCCATCAAGGTTGTTCAGTAGGAACTCGATGGGTTCTCCTCCTTGCCACTGGGGCCTATAGCAAACACAGAGCAAGACGGTTTCCTGGGTGGTAAGCCAGAGCCTGAAAAACATGAGCTCCAGATGATCTGGCATGTCGATTTCCAGGAGCTGAACGGAAAGTGCCTTACGGAAACAGACTGCAACACCACCAAAGGTGCCATTAGTTCTGTCCTTTCTA